TTCTTCTTCACTTTCTCTTCTGTTCGAACCTGAAATTCCTTAGTGCCCAAGACTGATAGCAGTCTTGATCATCTTCAGTAGTAATAGACCAAAAACTTGGGAAGATTTACAATAGGGGAAGATGCTTCTAGAGGAAGAATTCCCATTTTTGTAAAGTATGGCTCTTGTCTCTCAATGTGTGTTTTTCTCAATTCATTGTCTGGTCTAGTACTTGAGGATTAGAAGAGGYCTCAAGGGCTTTTGACTTGTCAGTTGCTTCGTCCATCAACAAGTCTTTTTCTTCCCCTCACAGCAGAATTTGGAGCACTGATCCCTCTGGGTTTTCTCTTGTGCCTTGTTCTTCTCTATAATTAGAGTTTTTTGTTAGTAATTGTATACTGGATTTGGAGAAGAATGTTGGATATGTTTGGGGGGTTAAGATGTGCTTCCCAGCTGATGTGATGGGATTCATAGGTGCTTGGTGGGGTTTAAGAAAGGCTGGTACAGTATCTTGGAGCATCATCCCTACAGCAGTTTTCTAGACAGTGTGGTGTGAAAGAAATAGCAGAATTTTCGAGGGGAGGCAGGACTCAAAAAAGTATTGGGCAAAGAGTTGATGATGGAAGTGGAGAGGCAGTTTGAGGAGCAAGAAGTGGAAGATGCAATTTTCTCCATGGGCAGATCAAAAGCCTTACGTCCAGATGGAGGTCTTTTTTGTGACTTTTTATATATTTATATATATATATATATTTACAGTAGGGGATTTTTTGTTATTTTGACTATTGTATGTTAGGTCCATCCTATTAGATTCAGCTATGTAGTCATAGTTTAAGCATGTTTAAATTTAAAGTCATTGGTTAAGTATTTAAGAGTTAGTTTTCTCAAGTGGGTCTATGAGTGGTAAGAAGTCTGAATTTGAGTTTTCCTAATTTAGAAAGTAGTTTGGCTAACCCTACACAGTCTATATATGTATGCAGTTGCAAAACATGGGCAATGAATTTTAGATCTAAATTTAATTTAAAAAAAGATCTAATTTTGGATCCTAGAGCGAGGGGACTCCTAAGAGTGATTCCTAGGCTTTTCTTCTTTATTTTTCTCTTCTTTATCTTATTTGTCTAAGTTTTGAGCTCAGCCACCCATAGCCTCAAAACAATTGGGTGGAAGAGCTTAGCTTCAGCTAGAATTTTGGTGGAAGTTGCAAAGATTCATTTGATTGTGATGTCCCTGGTGCTGATTTTTGTAGGAGTGGTTCAATCTCTATTTAGTTGTCTTGCCRTGTATTGGCTGGATGACGATAAGGTGGTGGGGCTTGATTGGGGGAGGAAGAAGAAATGGTTCGAGTTGATTCAGGGGGAGCTGAATGAAGGGGCAGGTGGATTGGTGTTCAGAGGTTGAAGGTGAGAGTATTTTGGAAATGGCTGACACTTATGATCTTGTGGTGGGTGGGTGTCTTGATGGTTGTATAGGAATTATGGATTGGGGTAAGGAGTGGGATCCAGT